TGAACTTTTGCGAAGTAAACAACTTGTGTTTCGCGCGCTCATATGACCTTAGCAGTTGCGAGCGCCGTAAAACCCTCTACTACATACATACATTATCCTTGTATTTGCAATGTTTCAGACAACTATAACAAGTTGTCACCTTTAATTGCCCCAACTGCCATCCCCAAAGCTAGAAATATGTGGCATCAACGCATGAAATCCTTGAAATGAAATTCTTAAAGAAGCTACTCATTTTACAAAGATTATAACACAAAGACCAAGGCTAAATCGTTAAAATGAAGAAATCAAGTTCTTTGTCCAATTTCCATTTCGATACAACAAACACTATGAAAACCAACAATCCTTTTTTTTGCAGGATCCAAACTCATCCATTTCCTTGAGGGACTTTAAGATTTCATCAATGAATCACACATTTTGCGGTCATATAAAAAAGAAAGCAAATTTTAAAGCAATTCAAGTTTTCATCATTACTTACATCTTAATTGTTAAACCGCAAGAAATTGCGTGACGAAGTCATTCATATTCACTTTCTATAGACACCGTTGTCTTGCCGGGGAATAGATGAAAGCCAAGTTGATTGGAAACCAGTGCACTTGACATAAAAACACTGCGCTAAAATTTCGAGCTACTTCCGGCAGAAGTAAACATGCAGATCTTAATCGTTAAAACGTGACAAAAATTCAAAGACGTAGTTACCGCGAAAATTTCGTAATCGCTGTAGTAATTTTGTTCTTGGCTGATGAAATGACTAAAGTGATCGCATTTCTAGTTCTACAATAAACAATTACACTTTTTTAAACGATCGATTGAACTGAAGATAGGGTTACTATTTTTTAGCATTTTTCGGACGAAACAAGTAGCATTAAGACCTAATTTTATGTCTTTTGTGTGAACAAATGGGCCGTATTATGCATATATTTGTCGGTTACCCTGAAAGTTCTACTTAAGATCAGTATTTACACATAATTACGAAAATGATAAGCAGGCAGTTCTTAGAGAAATCTTTGGATGAAAACTGTCTCTGGTGAATGTTACGTTTTCATACCTAAAAAATTGCTGATTTTTTAACATAAAAAACCCACACTGTTTCAGCATATCATTTCATTGGATATTTTCTGCCTAGTCCAGGTTCGGCAACCTTTTCCCCAACGGCTTACCTCATCTTAACAATAATTTGAAATAAAGAAATATATTTATGGTGTTTGCAGTAAGGAGTATGGGCAAGTTCAAGTTTTCAGGAGAATTCCCCATATATATATATATATATATATATATATAAGGTAGGAAGGTAGCTACTATTCTGATAAAGGAGATGAAGTTATTCAAGATGATATTCTAAATCAGTGCCTTAGAAATATTTACTATACATGCAGAATCATCCTGCTTATTAACTGATTTAATGAATATATGCAAGTTAAAAAACTGCCTGAATTTCTTTCAAGACACTATTCTGAATCTCTGTCAAGAAAATGGTTAGTAGTAGTAGTATAGGGTTTTACGGCGCTCGCAACTGCTAAGGTCATATGAGCGCGCGAAGATGGTTAAAAAAATACACCAAAATGATTAACAGATTAGGACATGTTCGATATGCGGCACTGAATAAGTATAATATGTTCAATCTACATTTTGTTTGCTCGTCTATTGTAAGTTTTCGTCATCATCAATGCCATTATAATCATTTAGAAACTGGACTTATTCCGCACTGCCTGTCATGGTTAGCCCGGTTGGCTGGAGTAGAATACTGCATTCAAACAGACAGACGGAGATGCTTGATTAAAGTGAAAACAACAACAACAACATCACAACAACAGCAGCAGCAACAGCAACAACAACAAAAACAACAAACAAAACAAAAACAAAATATCCAAACCTCTCCACTCGGGAATCGAATTCATGTGTTTTACGCGCAACTGGGGATAACTCAACCATTACACCTGAGGTCCCGCAAAATGCCGAGTAGTTACTAGACAGACATAGTATTGCAAGCACATTGCAAAATTGGCAGAATGCGGAAATCTTTTCGTTGTGTACGAATTTCGTTATGAACATGTTTTAGATATAAAGAATATACATTTATTTATATATTAAATAAATAAATATATAGATATATATATAGATATATATATAGATAGATATATATATATATATATATATAAGTCTGGGTTTTCTTGTGTAGGTTTGCTCATTTTGTCAATGTTTATACATCCTCTCTCGCCCCCATCCACGCTGCGACTGACGATATTAAACGCTAAGAGCTTCCGCCCCATACACTAGCCGCCATGGGCCATTCTTTATGATTGTTCCGCTGTCCCCGTCGAAGGTAATGAGTCCTGTACTATTCCCCAAGGGGTGGGCAGCAACTTTGATTTGCACCCTGATCTCCTGAGGCTACCGTGCCCCTCTGCCTGAGCTCCTGATCGCGATATGATATTACTAACATTCATAATATTATGCTCGTCAGAATCACATTCCACATCCCACTCACTGTAGTTCTTGTCACTACCAGCATCTAATTCAGAAAGATCTTCAAAATATCCAATAACGTCTTGTGTAGTAAACAATGTTTTCCGTACGTGTTTGTATCAGACGTTCCAGTTTGGGGATACAGGGGCCCTTACGCGTTCCAAAAAAGCATCAAATTTTTTTTTATCTCAAAATTTTGATATAAAATGTGACTGTGTGTAGAGCGTTTTGATGTCATTAAGTCCGGTATGGAATCAACATTTTGACGGATCAAACTCGTTTGATATTTTTTGACGAGTCATCAAATTTTTTATGCATGTGTGGGCTCCTGTAAAATTTTTGATCAAACTTTTATATTTCGAAGGTGACCACTGAGGAGACAGGATCGTTTCCGCTTCTCTCTTACTCTCTCTTTCCTCACTCTTTCCTTAATCTCTTTCGTTCTCTTCTCCCGCTCACCTCTCATCCCTCTCAATCGCCTCCCCACCCTCTCTCTCCTTTATTTCCCTCTTTCTCTCTTTTGTGACCTTTCTTTCTTGTATCACAAATCAAACCGAGTTTTCTAGTTTTCCCGCTTTTTCCGTTAATCAAAATGTTTAATTGTTATTTGAAGAAGAAAAGAGGCCGCAGAAAAAAGGACCCCCCCCCCCCCCAAATAATTTCCCTAGCAGACCACCTACCCCCGAAAAAAATACCGTCCCAACATCTCTCGATTTCTCTTTCTTTACAGGTCAAAGATTTTGACAATACTGAATTTTGACGGGGGAAAAACCCACTGAAATGTGTGTGGGCAATTGTGCATTAAGATTTTGTATCAAAATTTTGAAGCACAATTTTTGCGCTTTTTTAAACGTGTATGGGCCCCTAAGAGTCTCGCTCATCGTTGTATCGGTGGCAAAGCATACGGGCAGTGTTACGGACTATGCACCGGTGTACCAGTGGCAAAGGTTCAAAGGGTTAATTCGCGCCAGTGCATCACACTAGCCTACAGAGGGCGATGAAACCCAACGTAAGCGCACATGGACAACAAAAGAGAGCAGAAATAACACTAAGAAAAAAATTGTGGCCTGAAAATGTGTTCACTGTATCCGTGACGTGTTCGCTATGTACATGTTCTCAATTCTAATGCTCGCTCTGTGCATGCTTGACTGTAATACTATACTGACTGATGATAGAATAAATGCTATTAAAATGTATCATTATAATAAGCTATGTATTTCCCCAGTACTTTGTACGAGAAGCTACAAAAGTACCAGAGGACAAACGACGCGAACGGAGACGGCCTGGTCACTGCACAAGAAGTGGACGCAGAAATAGCGAGATACGACACCAACAGTAATGTTTACTCAAGTTTTTGACAAAGCTAGCTTTTTGTAGTTTTCGTCGTTTTCAACAAACAGACGAACCTGCTCTCATGGCCACGTGAATAAGACAATCATCTGTGTTAACGACCAGTGCCCATTCACAGCCGCTCCACCATACGTTTTTTTTTTTCCTTACATTATAGTGACACTGTGTAAGACCGCCACCTGTCTTAACTGGTAACTTTCCTCCTCAACAATTAATGATAGCATTCTTAGACAATTTTGACTGTGTTTTAGATTATACAGTAAGCCAAATCTTTACTTTACACCTCATGGCTCATTATGTATCAAATAATAACAATAATAATAACAATAATAATAATAATAATAATAATAAGAGCATTTGTATCCCGCCTTTCCCCACAGCATGGGCCCAAGGCGTACATAGGAGATTAAAAACGCATTCATACTAACACCATACAAATTCATCATGTGCACACTTTTTGACAGCAACATTTTTTCAGACAATAAAAAAAATGCTCATACAAAAAGGCAAAGGTACTGTCTATTAATTAAAATATTTCTTGAATAGATGTGTTTTGAGTCCCCTTTTGAAAGTATCAAGTTTTATTTCGCTCCTCAAATCATGAGGGAGAGTGTTCCAAACTATTGGCCCAGAAAAAGAAAAAGATCTCTCACCATAATATTTGTTCAGTGACACACGAGGTGTTGAAATTAGTCTAGAGCCACTGGATCTTAGTTCACGTGATTGTGAGTATGGTACAATTAGTTCTTGAATGTATGTGGGAGACTGCTTAGTTTGACCTTTAGAGCATAGTAGGGCTAACTTGTATTCAATTCTTGCTTTCAGTGGAAGCCAATGGAGCTCTTTAAGTAGGGGAGTCACATGATGGCGTTTTGATTGCTTTAATACTAGCCTGGCAGCATTGTTTTGAATGCGTTGGAGTTTTGCAATTTTTTCTTCGGGTAGGCCAGCGAACAGTGAATTGCAATAATCAATGCGTGACAAAATGAAGGCAAACACTAGTTTTTTGGTGGCATCAGTGCTAAGAAATTTCTTTATGTGAGCCTTCTCATTTCTAAGTATGAAATTTTACATAGATGGTTAAGTTGGGTCTCCATGGACAACTCTTTGTCTAAGTATATTTTGGTAAATAGGTAAATACATCAGCTTAACAAACAGCCCAGAACTTCTGCGACAAAAATAGAGTAAGAAGGGAAGTGGTGACAGTAGCGTTAAACCTATATGAGGTGAAAATGTAGTGAAAAAATTTTTAATTGTTTTGTTTGTTGGCTGTTGGGGTGGGGGGGTTTTTGGGGGTAGAGGCTAATTTTGTTTAATATCGGGCATTAGTGCTGTTGTTCTACTTAGATTTAATTTTCTTCTAATGAATTTTCTCTTTCACTTTTGTTCTTTTCTTGTGGGTGGACGGCGGGGGGGGGGGGGTGGAGGTCTCCTAAAACGTAAATCTTTTTCTTGAAGAAATAGAGCTTGGCCTTGAGAGCGTGTATCAATTACATATTTTCCATAGCTCCTACAATTTGCGTTCTAACAACCGCCGTCAACAACAAAATCATCACCGGCCTCATCATTGCTTCTTTCCTTTCCCGGAGGCGGGGTTGAGACTTAGAAGATTTTGCAAAATTCATACATGCTCAACGTCTCGCCCTGTAAAGGGCTTCCGTCA